TTATTTATACATTAAACAATATTATGAAGACATAGTATAATTATACAACATGTTAATATTATAAATAACATTTAAAATTAATAAGACTTTTTAAATTTGAAGTTTTACCAAAAATATTGTTTAAGTTATAATACGATTTTATTTATATTACTAAAACTTAGATCTGAAGTCGTTACGTATTAATGATTTAGTTTAAAACTTTGCAATAATCAGTTTTATAATAATTATAGTAAAAAAGTACCACACCTGTACCTAAAATTTCGAGTATTTTGTATGAAATCATATGCGTCGAGGAGTAACTAATTATTAAATAATCTTAAAAAATTTAAGTACAGACCAAAAATAAAATTGTAAATATGAGGCAATTTTAAGCTTCGATGCGAAACTAAGAAGATAATAATTTTATTATGATTGAAAGGGCTACTGGGCTCACAAGGCCTTAACTGGTAAAAGAACACAAACAAATTTTCATTTGAGATGAACAACAATAATTATATTCTGATAAAACAATGAATGATTTATTTTTCCTATAATGAAAGATGAATGTCAATAAAAAAATATATTATTATAACATTAATCTATACATAATCTTAACAGTTAGTAAACATTTAACAACATTTATATTTAATTTCTTAAGGAATATATTAAATGACTTAAATCTCAATTCTCACAAATTATAAATGTATAGATCTAATATATTATTATAACTTGCCAATAGAAAAGAACAAGTTATTTACATCAATAAATACTTATGCATAAGTGGATGAGGAACAAATTTATGGTTTGACTAGAACGAGGGCATTTTTTTCAATTTTTGAGGGTAATGTCTTCGACTAGATACAATTTGTGATCTTTCGACGTATCATTGAAAGAAATTGGTTCGGTGAGAGCTGAAAAAAAGTGGTAACAGACACAAAAAAAAAAAAAAACACATCTTAGTAAAACCAATACCTTCTCAGCTTCGCATCGAAGCTAAAATACTCTTAGTTATTTTAAGTAATTATGTACATCTAATTATGTACAACTTATTACAAAAATTGAAAAGTCGTGTACTAATTCCTGATTCCCAATAAGACTTATTGGGAATCAATGTTAATTCAAAAATAAAATCATTTACCAAGTTGAAAATGTTTCACTAATTGTTATAAATACATATTTTTGTAGAGTTGATTGACGTAGATCTATTTTGTCCAGGTTTTGTGATATTAAAACTTTTAATTTGTTAATAAGATTAGATGTTATATGTGAGATTTTGGAGTAAGAATATTTCAAGGTTATTTATTAACAATAATTACCAAATATAGGTCCACTTAAATTAAAATATTGGACTCCTTAAATTTTAAAATATAACTTAGATCAGAAGAAAAAAAGGTCATATAGGATAAAATTTTATGTTTCGACTAATAAGGTTATTGGGGGCACATTACAACCTTGAAAAATTTGGTGATTCAAACTTATTGAACATTCTGTTGGTAAAAAATACAGAGTGGCCCACCACTCACTGACAACTTAAATAACTTTTGATCCAGTTAATATTTTTAGTTGATTTTTTTTTTAAATAATAGTTATACGTTAGGTCTATAGCTATATCTCAATAATTAATTTTTTTACATTTTATTAAAAATATTAATTATTTTT